GCAAAGAAACAGCACTAACAAAGTTTAGACCCATAAATTTTGAAGGTCTAGCTACCATATTATTACCCACAAGGGTAAAGGAACAGTACCACTGCTGGATAATTGGAAAGTCCATGTATGTCAACCTCTGTGCTTCGTGGCAAGGTAGACTAGCAAACATGCCCAACCTTTACTCACATTCGAGAAAACACTCCCAATAAGATTGCTTGCTCCAAAATCGAAGAGGCACCGTCCTCCGAATCTAAAGAGCCAGACTCCCAACATGACTACTTTCTTAAAAATCGAAGAGAGGGTAAAGGAACAGTACCATTGCTGGATAATTGGAAAGTCCCTGTGTGTCAACCTCTCTGTGCTTCGTGGCAAGGTAGACTAGCAAACATGCCCAACCTTTACTCACATTCGAGAAAACACCCCCAACAAGATTGCTTGCTCCAAAATCGAAGAGGCACCGCCCTCCGAATCTCGAGAGCCACTCTCCCAACATGATTACTTTCTCAAAAATCGAAGAGACACTGCTCCCCGAATCTCGAGAGCCAGACCCCCAGCATGATTGCTTTCTCAAAAATCGGTGAGGCACCGTTCTCCGAATCAATCGAAGAGGCGCTCGCTTTCTCAAAAGCTGGGCTGCTCAGAGACCACGAGGGCCGATCTCAGAAATCAAAGAGGCACCTACTTTTCTAGCCTTGTCAGCACCTGTCACACGCACACTCAGCTTTGCAGAAATTATGGGCATTCTGTCGAAGACTTCTGGTGAAGTAGAAAGCACATGAATCTTACTGTTCAATCACCCACTTCCCACACGCAACAATAACTCATGGGTACCACAGATCACTTTGCCAAAGTTCTCTGCCAAAGTTGAGCACGTGAAGCTTGCAGCTCCCACTACATCGCTCTGACCAAGAAATGTAAAAGAATAGCAAAGAAACAGCACTAACAAAGTTTAGACACATAAATTTTGAAGGTCTAGCTACCATATATTATTACCCACAATGGTAAAGGAACAGTACCACTGCTGGATAATTGGAAAGTCCCTGTGTGTCAACCTCTGTGCTTCGTGGCAAGGTAGACTAGCAAACATGCCCAACCTTTACTCACATTCGAGAAAACAGTCCCAACAAGATTGCTTGCTCCAAAATCGAAGAGGCACCGTCCTCCGAATCTCGAGAGCCAGACTCCCAACATGACTACTTTCTCAAAATCGAAGAGAGGGTAAAGGAACAGTACCATTGCTGGATAATTGGAAAGTCCCTATGTGTCAACCTTTGTGCTTCGTGGCAAGGTAGACTAGCAAACATGTCCAACCTTTACTCACATTCGAGACAACACTCCCAACAAGATTGCTTGCTCCAAAATCGAAGAGGCACCGCCCTCCGAATCTCGAGAGCCAGACTCCCAACATGATTACTTCCTCAAAAATCGAAGAGACACTGCTCTCCGAATCTCGAGAGTCAGACCCCCAACATGATTGCTTTCTCAAAAATCGAAGAGGCATCGTTCTCCGAATCTCGAGAGCCAGATACCACAGACCACTTTTTCAAAGTGCTCTGACAGAGTTAAAACATGTGAAACTGGCAGCTCCCACTACCGTGCTATGACCAAGCAGGGTAAAGGAATAGCATTACTACTTGTTGTTAGGGAGACTCCTATATATGTCGACCTCCATCCCCAACGGACAGGCAGACCTGCAAAAATGCTCAACCCTTCATCATATCTGAGAGGGCACTCCCAACAAAGCCTTTCGAAATATTCAGCTTTCTTTCCCCCCGATAATACCTCTGCAAACAAGCTATACTAGAGCAAGAATATCTCATATCATCAGGGTTAAAAGCAAGAGTATCCCATATCATGCTTTTTTCCCTGTTTTTTTCTTTTGACCTTGTTTTTACCTGCAAGACAAGGAGAAAGAGAGCAATCAGTCAGCACTTGGAATCAAGCTTCCAGCCAGGAACTGACTGCCTGGAACCCCTTACCTGATTACTTACCTGGCATTGCTCTCGAGTACTCATCTTCAACATCTTATGTTTCCAGGGAAGATTCCGCATCTGCTTGAGGAACAGATAGGGCAAGTGCGAAGGATACAAGGAAGCATGTGGAGACAAGCGTAACAGCACACGTGCCGATACATCCATTACTCTGTCAAAAGCAAAAGTATCCCATATCAGCAGGGTGGAACGTACTCTAGATTTGATGGACTTGTTTTGACCCTCAAATTCTTCAGTCGGCCTTATACTCTGGAGGAAACCAGAAAACCCTCCAGCTCAGTTCAAGAATAAGCCTGTGGAAAGTTACTTCTTCAAAAGCAAAAGTATCTCATATCATCTCTTCTCATTTTTCTTCTCTTTATCCTTCATGCTGCTGCAAGATGGGGAGAAGGTGAACAATCAGTCGGAGCTCTGATTGCTTACCTTGTCTGTCACCTCTTTCAGCAGACCCCCTAGCTCGGCGACTTGGGGGACTCCTACTACATGGTTTGTATCGCGCTTGACCAAGCCTGAAACTACAAGTAAGCTTCAAGTGAAATTGATACATTACCTTGTGCATCTCCACCAGTTAAAGATACCACCCCTGGATGGAGGAAGAGTACTTCCAGAGAAGATGCCACATCTACCTATGAGACAGATAAGGCAAGTCAAGACGACACCACACTCTGATACTTAGAAGTTTCGTGATTACGAGATCATTCTCCCACAATATTTCCTAATGTCATTTGTACTAAATCATTCACTCGTACTCACTAAAGGAGAGCTTGAACCTATGTACTTGTGTAAACCCTTCACAATTAATGAGAACTCTTCTATTCCGTGGACGTAGCCAATCTGGGTGAACCACGTACATCTTGTGTTTGCTTTCCTATCTCTATCCATTTATATACTTATCCACACTAATGACCGGAGCAATCTAGCGAAGATCACAAAAAGCGACCGTTTTCGTTACCTATGATCTATCTTGCAAGAGAACGGAGAATTAGATGGAGATCTCAACCATAGAATACGAGCTGGATGGAAAGAGTGCATCCGGCGTGTTTGTGTGACCGTCGTAGGCCACTGAAGCTCAAGGGAAAATTTTATAGGACGGCAATAAGGCCAGCGATGTTGTATGGCAGAGAATGTTGGGTGGTGAAGCATCAACACGTACACAAAATGGGTGTAGCGGAGATGAGGATGCTTCGTGGGATGTGTGGGCACACGAGAAAGGATAAGATTGGGAATGAGGATATCCGAGGTACAGTAGGAGTAGCCGAAATTGTAGGAAAGATGAGAGAAAATCGGCTCTGGTGATTTGGACATGTGCAAAGAAGGCCGACTGACGCTCCGGTTCGAAGATGTGACTACGGGACAGAGGTTCAGGGCCGAAGGGGTAGAGGAAGACCTAGGAAAACTTTGGAAGAGACTCTAAGAAAAGACTTAGAGTACTTGGATCTAACGGAGGACATGACACAAAACCGAGCGCAATGGCGTTCTAGGATTCATATAGCCGACCCCACTTAGTGGGAAAAGGCTTTGTTGTTGTTGTTGTTGTTGTTGTTGATTAAAAAAGAAGTGCTCTAAATGATAATTTTGTTATTGTTTTAATGTTGGAAAAAGCGTGAGTTTATGGATCAGACTAAAATGACATTTCAGTTGATGTAAATTTAGCACTATTTTTCGTATGTGTGTGTATGAGAGATTATTGAAATTGCACATTTGTATGAGGATTTTTAATCAATAGGTTGTGTTAAACTTTTCTTATATATTTTTCTAAATTAGTGCCGTCAGTTGTATGCATAATGGATACATGTAACATGCAACAGAATGCGTAGTATTTTCTGGGTTGCCTGAGTCTTGACCTTTGGTTTTAAGTACGAGTGTATAGAAATTGTTTGAAAACTGGGCTTGGATGCGTGAGTGCTATAAGCTGATTGATATTGTTGGATTCTTCTGCAGGATTACGTCCCAGAAGACATCGGCAGCATTTCTGGTTTTGAACCTCCCCAGTCGCCGGAATCAAGTTATAACAACCTGCAGCTTGGATCTGAAGATTTCGCGAAGGAGCCCCCATTGGTTCCTCCACACCTACAAATGACACTGCTGAATGCACCTTCATCTTACATGGAGATGCCGCCTCCTTTGTCAAGACCTCAACATGTGGTACTCAATCATCTTTACATGCAGAGAGGGAAGAGTGGACCATCTGTGGTGGCACTCGGTACAACAGAGAGGTTTATAGCGAAGTATGTTACAGTGGTTCTCTACAAGTCCTTGCAGAGATAAAAAAACATACACACACAAAGTGTCTGTCTGGACTCCACGGTTCCCATTATGTAGTTAGTTTTATATCAATTTCAAAGTCAAATGCCATTTCCATGGCGTCGGTTTATGTTCAGGAAGAATTTTTCAGGTGAAACTTCAGGATTGTATTTTCACACAATTCCATTGCTTAATGACCATTGATCCATCCGCTTTTGCATTCTTGCACTTGCACTTATTGGCTGTTTGTATCTCTTCAGTTGTTGTACAAGAAAAAAAGGTGAAAGAATGAACTTTCCCTATCTGCATTTTCTCTAATTTGTCTGATCCCCATTTCCCAAACCTGCCAAGGTCGAAGGGATAAGTTTTCCTATTGTCTCTTATGTTTTCCAATTGTCTCTAATTCATGTCAATAATCAATAAGAGATTAAGTAACAAATTCGCAACATAAAGGAACATGATCAGCATGTTTCAAGGTATCTTTCTAATCGAAATTGGTCTAACCACAAGTTTCACCAATAAAAAATTGATCTAAGATCAGTTGCACAAAATATAATAAAAAAAACCATTAAACTATCACATCCAAAATGCTTCCTAAACCAAAAGAAAAAAAAAATCTGAAGCAAATGTGCACAGTTTGCAACAAAAAGTTTCACATTGTTCCTGAGAGTTAAAAAATGGAATTGAGGTTGACTAAATATAAAATGTCTAAAATACCCTGTAACTTGAAATGAGATCAAAAGAGTTGAAAATGTGGCAAAGTGAGATAAAAGCAGTTTAAAAAAATAAGTTGAGATTAACGGGGGCGGCTTCATGAGACATTCCTTATTATTATATTGAACAACGTAAGAGGTGTGTAGGTGTGATTTGGAGAGGCACATTTATTGCGGATGATACTGAGAGTGGTTGTAGGGAAGCAGGCCCAAAATTGGAGACTGAGAGACTTGTAAAGCCGAGTTCAAAGAAAACGAATCGAGTGTGGAGAGATCGAGAGATAAACATGGCGAGGAATGGTGGGATTTTTATACGACAGACTTTGCTTGGAATTGCAAGTGGTATAGGCCATTCCAAGTGGTATAGGCAATGGCTCCTATGGCTCCTCCTCCTTCCAAGTACTTCGTCGTCTTCACAATCCTAAGTTTTTTCCAATTTGTATCCAAACCCTAAATGCCCTAACTTCGATCCCAACCACACCATCTTTGTCCATGTCGATTCATGTTACTTCCACACCCAAATCACCCGTCTTGCTCGATTCCCTTCATTTTCTGCAACACCGAAGACGGCTGTCCTCGGCGCCCGCCCCGTCCCCGTCCCCGTCCCCAGCCCCAGGTAACGCTCCTTTCTCTTTCTCTTCCAATTTCTGCGATCTGATGATGATTTTGTTGTTGCCACTGAGACTGCTGTGTATTTTTATAGCAATTAAATTTCCACGCCCCGCGGACATCGTCATCTTGTGGAAACAGGATCAAGTGGAGAGAGCAATACAAAAAGTTCAAGGTAATCATTTCTCTACCGCATCATGGTCATCTGTATGCTCATAACCTTGTATAATGCAAGCTAATATTGAAAACTTCAAAGGGCTTCAGCTCTTCAAAGACCACCCCAAAAATCTCATAAGAGAAATATGCGAAACAACCATTCCACTATCATGCATAAATTTCAGAAGGCCTAGCTACTAACCGATAAGCGTCCTCACAGGTTTAGTCCTCGTTTTTCTCCAAGACATCAAAACCTCCACAACCTTTTCGGTTGGGTGAATAAGTATTATATTTGGCTTCTCGAATATCTTACAACTAAGTAAACAAAAATGCGCTTCCTAGTTTCACATTGCCATTGTTTGACAAAGACCCTGAAAATATTTTCAAAGAAAGGCTTGAGTTGGCCTAATTAAAACCTTTACGATTATAATCCAGTAATGCAAGTTTCTAGCGGATGGAACCTAAATTTGTTACTCCAAACCCAAAAAATAGCAACACCGTAGGATTTCAGAAGTAAATATGCACAAAATACATCCAACTTTTAAGAAAATTGCAGCTGGGTTATATAGAAAACCAAGAAAGATGCAATCTTGATACAAAGAAAGCAAAGTTAGAATACCAAGACCCATATTATGCTATTAAATCAGAGAAAACTGAGATGCATTGGAATATCTACAGATCTAATCCAAGAGTGCAAACCAAAACCCTAACTTTCTCAGAGAAATTGAGGGAGAAAAATTGTAGAGAGAAAACAAGAGGAGATATGCCTGACTCTTGCTGCAATTGTTGGCTATGAATGCTTGGGAGAGAAAGGCCTTTGCCTTTCACTTGCTTTTGATTTCTGCAGCTACGGCAGACACATCGGCCAGAATCTTGACCCGAAATCAAAATCTTACAGAAAAGAAGAAACCCAAGTTTGTTCCGGTCAGAATTTGCATTATTCTTCATCATCCATTCATGTTACAAACTAAAACAATGACATGCCAGTTTAACTGCAATAGAAGCTGTAGAAAATTTGAAAATAACAAAAATTACCTGAAGAGGTGCGAGGTGCAAGATGAACACCTTTATCTACGAAAGGAAGTAGAAAATCTCCAAACAACGTATATTTCACAGTGAAGCAAAAGAATTAACAGAGGGTGAAGAAAGGAGAATGAATGACCCGCGTTGAAGCCTTGTGACCCCAAAGTAGGGTTCTAACTTTCTAATAGTAAAGATAATGCTCATAGAGCAAGCTAATATTGTTATTCTCATGAAGTTAGTCCTTTGTTACTATCCCCATCCTGTTTTATGTATTCTGGCTGATGGCACCCTGTGATTATAGCCAAGCCTAGGCTCTTCTTATTTAGGCCTAACTTTGCTTCAGCTTCTCCCTTAGGTAACAAAAGGAAAAAAATCCACCAAAACTGCTGGTCAGAGAAAACTAAAAATCATAGTTAGCAGTCATCATGGTTAGCCCGCAATATATGAACTGGAAATACGCAGATTCCAGCTGCACACACAGTCCACTCGACAGGGTTCCAGTTTATACGTAGCCAAGGAAATGAATGCCAAACCCATCCCTGTATTTTTCTTGTATTCATTTTCAAACTGTTTTTCTCTTTTTCTTTCCTCACATGTAATATTATATATGCAGTTCTTAATTGTTATTATTATTTTTTAATTTTGATAGATGGATTATTGCCAGCAGTTTTCTACTTTGCTTCGCAGATATGTGTTGATTGTAAGTTCTAATAAGCAATTTTTATACATGAATCAATTTATTTATTGTAAACTGCTCCTTCACAAGTTATATATGGACTCTTGTTTTGCAGCCAATCTCTTTGGATCTCCAACCGTTCGAAAAATGAGGGAAGAATTCCCACATGTAACAGTATACAAGTATGTGCATACTTTTGAGGTATGTTATTGTAATCTTGACTTCTGTTAACCTGGATCGTTTGGGAACTATTTTAGTCATATTGTAGATGGTTGGATCGTTTGGGAACATAGTGTGTGTCTTTTTCCGAATCTAGTTATGGGTCTTAAGGTTAATGAATTACTGAATTGTAGTTGTAACATTTTATAGTCTATTTACAGGACGACTTGCTGGGAATGAATGTTATGTTTACGGTAAATGATCGTATCCCCTTCTTTTTTTTTCTTTTTTTAAAGAAACCCCTGTAAATGTGCATACGTATTTCATAGATATAATTGTTCAGTATGTAATGTAACCTTTGTTTTTTAAAAATGCTTTCGTGATTTTGTGTCCATTTTGCTGCAGCCAACATTCCATTTCTATCAAAATGGGAAAAAGGTAGACGAGATTTTTGCCAATCCCTATCAAAATAGGACGGCAGATGAGATTCCTGACCTCGCGATGGAAATTTGTGAAAAACTGTACAGGTAGTTATTTTCTAAATAACTTTGCATTTGCATGAGGTTGCTGCATAATTGTGAATACAGTACTGGTGACTGCCGGTTGAGGTTTCTGTTTTTTATGGTTCAAGTGAATTTTTCTTTGAATGTGATTTCCCTGCGTTGATTTTTTATCTCAATGGAAGGCACGTCATCCAGGTTGAAACCACTCAACCTATGAGCTCATCTGGGAAGGGTAAGGGGAAAAGGAAGAGGAGAACTTATCAACAACTTTTCGTACAAGCTAAGACAGACGAAAACGAAAATGACAAAGTAGTTGCTTGAGGAGGGGGGAAAGTGGGAGGTGCTTTGGCATTTGCAGAACAGAGAGGTGGTGCGCAATTGTCACGGAGGAGAGGTGCTGCGACGTCATCAGAACATAGTGATCGCCCTATTGAAGCGGTTGATAGCAGTGGTAGTGCACCTTCATTTGATGAAGCAATGAAGGCTATTGTATCTATCCCTGAGTGGCGTCACGAAAAGTATCTGCGGTGGTATGCAAAAGGGCTGTTTAAAGCTAACCCTGAGAAGAAAGCAATGTGCCTGAAGGTTGTGACAGATGATAAGATTGCTTGGCTACTAAGTGACGCGGCTGAGGATTAAGTTGGACTTGGATTGTAACGGATGCGATGTACTTAAAAAGTTTGATGACTCATTATATTAGGTTCGCGTTATGGTTCTTGACTTTTGTGCTTGTTTAAATTTGGTTTTGTGTTGTACTCTAATTCATATAATCGTCGTACTATGATTGATTAATGTTGGATATTTATCATATGTTTGTGTTTGCCATTTTGTGTTTCCCAAGTATTGTTATTCACCTAATAAAAATTCAAGTACTCCTAGCATCCGTCAGTGCAAGATTTAATATATTTGATTTTTAATTTCTTTATTATTTAATTTGAGAAAAAATATGCATAAATATTCAAGATTTAATATATTCATTTAAATTAATAAAGTCATTCAATACATAAAACAATTCAAATTCGTATAGTTTTTTAGGACATTCATTCTCATATTTCATATTAATATGTAAATAGTTTAAATGCACCATTGATTCGGCTATATTTATATACACATTAATTTCGCCTCTTTGTGCATTCATCTCCATAATTTCGTACATTAATGTCTTTTGATTTATTATTTTTTTTATTTCTCAAAGTCATTAACTCTCCCATATAATTTGCATGTAATTAATTTTTATAAATCAAACATGCAATAGGGGTATTTTTGGCATTTGAAATATGTAAAATGTGTCAAGTTGAATGTAATTAATGAATTCGCTCATGTGGATCCTAGTCGGATAGACCCCGATCCGGTATGTCCACTAGGACTCCGAATCAAGCTGTGCTGGCTGACACCTAGAAGGTGACGAAGCCATAAAATGTAGTGATGTGGAAAATGTTAATATATTTAAACCTAAAAGTGCCTAAATATAAGAGTGAGCTGGATAGCGGGAATGAATCCATTTCACACGTGACGTCAGATCATAAGTAAAGTACAATATGGTGGATAAGGATTATACCCTCAAGGGTAGCCACCTATACTGAGATTTGCCAAGAATTGTCGTCGATACAAAAGTTCAGCAGCTAAAACCTGGAAGGGCAAAAAACATGGGTGAGTGGGCCTGAAAATAAAGTTTTAATAAAAACCTTTGAAAACATTATAACCCATCGTCGTAAAACATATATAGTTTCCAAAATATACATACTATATAGAGTATGAAAATACTTATCATAACCTGCAAGATCTCAAAAATTCATTACGCCATAATATCTCGTAAATAAGGGCATGACATCCCAAAATCCCAAAATCTCAACAGTAAAATAAGTAAAATCAGGTGCTCAACAATCTATAGGTATCAACAGTGTGGAAGTCGAAACCATTGATTGTGATGGTGGCGGAGAAGCAAGGGATGACCAATAAATAATAGTACCAATTCAAATAACGCGGTCAGAAGAAGAAAAATAGAATAATTCAATCAAGAGAAATGTTAGCCAGACTCGCCTCAAACGCAGTCTGGCAGGACTCTTCAGTCTCCACCCACGTGTAAGTTGGCTTGTATTATTAAATGCAATTTTGGATCCCACAATTATTTCAATTAAGGAAAATAAACGTTGCAATTTAATTTTAGTTTTCTCTTTCTAGCTCAGCCTTTCCTCATCCTTCTCGATAAAGCCGAGAGAACCTGAATTTTTTTGTTTGTTTACAATCGAACGACCTGTTATCATGCTCAAAAACTAACTTATCTTTGACATTTTCCGGAAATAATAGGAAGTTGGTTTGATGGACGTTCTTTACTTATCATAAATGACAGATTTTTCAGTTTCTTTACCTCCTTAAAACCTTTAGCTTATCGTTCTAAAGTCATGTAAAAAACTGTCTATGTTATTTTTTGGGGAACTTTAACGAAAAAATTTCGATACTATTCATTTTAACGAAAAATCATATTTTTACACTACAAAGTCAATCCTAGTAATATTCATTTTATCATTTATTTTGTCTTCATCGTTAAAATTCAAAATTTTCAAACGTTTTTTATTATTTTTCCTTATTTTTTACCATTGAGTGGGATAATATGGATTAATTCTCCACATTGCAATTAGTCAGATTATTTACTTAAGGAAAAAGAATGGCTTCTTCGGTTCACTTTTTGCCCAGAAAGTAGAACTTACATCTGGAAGCAAACCAAGTCAGGTTCGCAGGTAACTGACTAAAGCTAAAAGACCTCCATTGATATATTTGAATTAATTAGATTCAACTAATATCTCTTCGGGCAGTTGAGCTACTTCACAGAAGTTATTGTTATGCATGCATAGATAGGGCCATGACTATGATATTTGTAACTTCAATTGTGCTGCATGCGTGTACTAGGATGCAATTAATTTTTTATTTTTGGAGAAAACAAGGATGCGACTAATTAGGGTTTTAACTAGTGATCAAAATGGAAATTGTGTGTATGACTATGAAGAGCATTGATTCTTCACGAGTGGGTGAAAATTTATGTTGTTCAATTAAAAATGTATCTACATTTATAGGTCTATTTTGAAATAATTGGAGAACTTTTAAGGGGATATATACGAGTATAGTTTTTTTAGTGTAAATAAGCATTTATTTACAAGATATATAATAAATTTACATAAATCTACCTAAGTATCCGTCTAGGCCCTGCCTAGTCGCCTAGCACTTGGCCCCTATCCACCGTCCCACTAACTTCTAACGTTTTTTAGAACCTTGCCGATGACTAAAGGAAGAAGAAGAACAAACAAAAAAACGCATATGAGAAAAGTGTTCCACTTTCCAATAAGTTAAAGTGTGATAATGATATGGATTTTAGAAATCTTGAATGACGTGAAAGAGTTAGGATGGAGATGTAAGAAAAACATAGATAGGATGTAATATTATTTTGTTTTAAATCTTTATTGGAAATCTTTGGTGGCGTGACTGGGGTGGAGGGCATGCGCCACTGCCTCACTTGCTGCCATTTGGTGCAGACTGCAATCTGTGCTGCAGCTATCTTTCTCTTTCTAGGCCACAGCTTTTTGCTTGTTCAACACTTCAAAGAGTGCATGGGGCTTTCTGTCCTTCACATACACGGCCAGACGAATGGGATGAGATGGGATTTTCTTTTTCTTTTTGTTTTTCCGTTTTTTGAAGAATAGATAGAATGTTATTTGGTTTTTAATCTTTAATAATCACCCACTACTTCGACGTGAGGTTTTTATCATTTCAAACAGATTGGAATATACGTACATTATATACATATATACGTGTGCGCTATACATTTATATAAATTATCGGGATAATGTTTTATTATTTTTTTACTTAATAGAATCACATATATATATATATATAATTTTTAATAAATTGTGTGTTTTATTATTGTTTAGTCAGATTCAAACCCACTTTAAAATTTGAGTTGAATTGATGTTGATGGGTCTCTAACTCTCTGTATAGAAATGACTACACATGGAGCAAGCCCGCTTATTTAGCTGCTAGTAATACTAATCTAGGATTGATCTATGCCACACGTTAAGGTGCTGATGACAATGATGCTTGACCTCGCATTGGAAGGCTTTCTATTTGATAATGCATATCTGTGACCCGTTGATTATGTTCCGCGATCCGCCAACTTTGTTCCACGAGCTATTCAATTTGTGATTCCGACTCAATCTTTGAACTGAAGGGTTCCGACATGATTTGGTATGAGAAGTGATTGAATGAGAAAGTGAATATTTGCATCCGATTATGAGAATTTATTAATAATAGTCAAAATTTAACACTTAATTTTATAAATGTTATTTTTTTATAAATTATTTCAAATATAGCAGAAAAATCACTTAAATACCCTTATAATTAAAACCAAATAAACATAAGAGACAACATCCTATTAGATCAAAATAAGAAAAAATGAGAGGCACATTTCGTGATGTCAAACCAACTGTAAATTGAAAACAAAAAGAAGTTGTCGGATGAAATTGAGAAACTCCATCTCACCAAGAAGAGAAGAAAAGAAAGAAGACTAAAGGCTCTAGGCTTTGGAGGAGTTTGAGTTGCTGCAAAGAAAATCAGGCCATAGGGAGGTGGTACAAGATACAAGGATGTTCGGGGCTTCCATCTTTTCATTTCAAAACCTTGAGTTCCTAGCTCCCAAAATTGCCCAACTTAACATCAAAAAGAGGTCGAAATTTGGGAATAATCTGTGAAACACGGACACATATACAGTGATACGATACAACATGGTGATACAAAAAATCTCTAAAAAGTAGAATACGATACACGATAGATGCGACAATTAAAATTATATAATAATAAACAAAGATAAAAATATATATAATTTAGAACATATTTTGATAAAATAAAAATATATAACTTAGAACATATTTTGATAACACAAGATCAATCAAATTCAAGTTCATTTGATTTGTTAGAGAAGAAAAGTTGAAAACCTAATTCTTGGCATACATAAAAGAAGGGTGACAGTTGTATACATAGTTTCAATTAGAGATTGGTTCTTCATAATTCATATTCTCTGATTTCAACTAAAGCTATGTCACTTATTAATTTTTTCTTTTTAATTTCTTATTTGAAAATGTAAAAGTAAAAGCATGATACTTGTATCCCAAATGTGGGATACGTGTATCCGTTAAGTTAAAGTGTGTTCATTAATTATGATATGTGTCCGACAAGTATCTGAGAGTATTTGACAAGTATCATATCTGAAAATGATCGGATACAAAATATGTAACCAAAGTAAAGTATCCGTGCATCATAGGGGATGATAGTTCCTCAAACAACGATGCAGAGGAGATCTATTAAATCATTTCGGTTTTTCTATGTAAATGGGTTTTGGATGTTGAGGGCATTTAGATCTATTCAAGTCAATTTTCTGTTATATTTGATTTTTTTTATAAAAAGTGACATTTATGAAAATGTGTATTAAATTTTGGCTATTATTAATAAATTCTCTCCAATTATATATGTGAAATCCCGTTCCTGGATTTCATTGTTATAATCTAAGTATTTGTATTATTAAGATTTTATATTATTTTTCTAGAATTTATTTTAATTTGTTTGAATTTAGATTTTAATTAAACTAGTTACGAAGTTTGAAGTTTGAAAATTAATTATTTAAAATCCGTAGACCTTTTGAGGTCACAGTTTATATTTTTGAATAGAGCTCGATCTCAAGAATGGGTAGGTGCAGACCGTTCGTTAAATGGAATTATAACGAAAGAGTTATTAACGTTTGAAGTTAGGGACATTTTTGTAATTTTGGCCCCATCTAGAAGGCTTCAGATT